GGCGAAACGTATGGAGATGCACCAAGTCAACGGTCTGATGCTGGAAATCATAAATACTATTGCAGAGGACCCCGGACTAGGTACGACCCACAAGGTCTTCCTGATGTTCTGACCTAGTTGCGAAAACGAGGTCGAACCAGCACTTGTTGAAGCAAGTCTAAAAATCGTTCACTTATTAGTACCGATTTCAGCGCACTAAACTTCACTCACACAATATATTCTATTCAATAGATAGTATAAAAAATAAAATTCAGAATGACATTCCGAGGCTTGCTTCAACTTGGTTGCAGCTCAAATTTTGTTCAGCAAGATCGAATTCCTAGGAAGAGCCAGTACTACAACCAGGCTTGACTGTCGCGAACGTTATTTATTATCAACAAAAGGTAGATCTGAATAAATTGCCTGTAAAATTAAACAAAATTAAAACTTTCTATAAAAAACGATTCCAATTACGGATAAACCTAAAAAACAAATAGCGACAAGAAAGAATTTTAATCCTTTAAGCTGCGATTGAAGTAATTATAAAATTAGATGTACTTAGACCGTACAATTTAAATAGATTAAGAAACAAATAAAATAAAGAGATGTGTGACAAATATAGTTGTGCCAAAGAGTGTAAAAATGCATTTAAATGGATTCTCCTATAGCACTTTTAGAATTCAGACCATATTTTAATTTGTGAAATTGATTAATTTGCGTACTTAAGCACGTCATGTTAAAGTATACTAACGATCTCACTAAAATCAAATATAATCGTAACTGCACTGCTTCCTCTTTCATTGTTATTATTTCTTATTTCAGCATTAGAAAAGATTACTAAGGCGACTCCAGAGATTTCTCCAGCATCGTGAGTGAGTATCACCATTTGAGCCCCGAACCACAATGAGTGAAATTGACGGATAAAATCAAACATATTGACAAATTGGCCGTTCAGAGAAATACACATGTTTTGGTGGGCTAATTGAGGTGTAATCTTCCGCCCCGTCAGTGCCCCATAGCCTATTTTTGGCTCTCTTATCCGATTTTGTAGTTTTGCTAGGTAATCCGATTCGCTTAACTTTTATTCTAATGGCATTCATCCCTCAACATAAAAAAAAGATAATTCCATGTTAGTAAATAAATATTTAGGTATTTGGGTATCTAGCTGTCTTGTTACCTTTCACTTCAGGCTCAATTCTGCAGGCAGGCAACCCGTCCTCAACGGCCTTTCCCAAATCGGTTCTCGCCTCGTCTTCATTACATTCTCGCTTAATCAGCTCCAGGATCCGACGAGACCCAGTGAACCGTTTTGCCTCCAACCGGGTCGAACGGTGGCCTATTGCACTCTTGGAATTGCGGGATGACGAGTCACCGTTGCTAGGTCGAAGGCGAATAGGGATATCAGTCGACTCGGAGAAAGAAGCAGAAGATGAAGAGGACGATGATGATGAGGACCTAGATAAAGAAGAAGTGGCGCCGGGTGAAGAACCGTACGATCGAGCGGATTCTTCTATAAGACGATCCTGACGCCTGGTATGGCCGCTCGAACGGCCAGGTTCTCTGCTGCTTATACTCAGACTGTTTGTGATCAGCTTTACGGGGCTTGGCTGGCTCGAGTTAGGTGCTGAAGTGGTTGGATTATTGGACTTAAGCATATGCCTAGACAAGGCTGAACCGTAAGTATGACGTCCGGAACAGCGTCGGGTGTGACGAGAAGATGAGATTGAGATGCCCGATGTTGAGCAAACGCATAAGGTAGACTCATCCGACTTGGAAGAGGGAGTGGTTGTGATGATATTTGGGGTTGCGGCAAAAGCGGAAGTGGGGATTGTCGTGGCGACGGCCCCCAGTTGATCGGGTGTGAAAGAAGATGCACTTGTAGCGGTTGCACCGGCGGTGGTGGTGGCGGCAGGCTGACACATGGAAACGATCAGCTCAGTATCGATTGTGAGTGGAGAAAGGAGAGACGGCGACGGTGAGCGAGAAGCGACAACTTCGCTAGCCCCTTCCGAAGGCGATAGCTGCATTTGGCAGACATGAGAATTAATAAATTTTGAGCACGTGTGAAAATCATCACTTTGATCAGTTTAGAAACGATAACCTCAAAGATTACAAAGATTTCTCGAAAATCTCAAGATCTTCCCATAAGTAACGGTTATCGCTGGAATCTTGCTAGTAAACTCTGGAGTAGAATTCATGTTTCTACAATTATAGTATCAATGAAAATAGTGAAGCAGAATAAAGTAACCATTTCGTAGTATGAAGGACAAGATGGTGTGGCCTTCTGTCTGGTCGCAGTCTCATTTAGCTTTATAGTTTGATCTAGTCTTCGCAACATGGTTGGAGCATCAGGTAAAACTTGTGGAGTATGCCTAGTCATGCATTCTCTACCATAGTATTCGTGATTTCCAGTATCAGACCCTTGATTTGGTACATTCCCAAACGTTTCGCCGGCATCGTCAGTAAGATGCGCCATTATTAGGACAAAGTTACAATCCCCTTGACCAATTTTATGTTCAACCGAAGATATGAAGACCAAGATAGTGTGGCCTTTTGTGTGGTCGCAGTCTCCTTTGTTATATAGAAATTGTTTGACCTTGTTTTCGCAACTTTGTCATATTGGTAGGAACGCACCTTGTCTTGAGTCAATTGTATGCATAATTATTTCCAAAGTCGGACCGTGAACATGGTACATTCCCAGACGTTTTTCCGGCATCGTCAGTGACCTTTACCATTCGTAGCACCATATTACAACTCGTCAAAGAGACGAGTGAAACCGATCCTTTGACCAAATCTGTACTAAACAGTTATGGTATCTCCCATTCTGCCCTGGCCTATTCACATTTCCTATATCCTTAAATGTCACAATATTTTACTTGCTTAAGTAAATGTGGTACGGTGTGCCCTTTTGAGCGGTTTTCATGAGAACCCTCCACACTCCACGCTAGCCTTCTTAACTTGGTATTAGAGATAGAAACAGGATAGACGCGGC